ATTATAACAATATTTTAGAAGCTTTAACTTACTAAAATATTTTTTTATTATAATACATAGCTTTGAATGCATAGCAACCATAGCAAGATTGAAATTTAAAAACTAATGAAATAGAGAATTTAAAGAATACTTCAGGAGTCTGTCTAGGTTTTTCTGAGAGGTACCTATTTTGCGAAAATTTAGACATAATTTGTGAAAATTAAAAATTATATTAAAAAATCAACACAAATATGGTAAATACATGGATTTATCATTTCTTACGAGACACAAAAATAAAATTTTAAGAAAGAAGTATTTTGTGAAAGTAGTAAATTCGGCTTGGACAGGCCCCTGTAACTAACTATTAAAACAAAGTTTCAATTGGCAAACCATAATTTTAATTCAAAATTGCGATTTCTTTTGTTTCTTCTTGATTTTTAAAATGACAAAATAAATGCTACAGATTGTGTTTACAGATTTGTAGTCATTCCTCAAAAAATAAATAAATATTTAATCCATATATTTTTATATTAAAATATTCATTTTTAGTTCTATATCAAAGCTAAAAGTATAAGTTAAGCTAAAAAAATTTTTTTAAAAATCTATGTCCTTATTGGAATTTTTTTCCACAAAATTTCTTTATAGAAAATCAGATAATGTCAAAGATACAGTAAACATATTATGAGAAAAAAATACCAGTTAATATTCCTACAGCTTCAAATAGACTTTGTTTGAAAGGGAAGAATGACACTATATCAGTAAAAAAAATATCTGAATTCATCAGCCCTTTTTTTTTTCTTCTATTTTTGGCATATTAGGGAAATTTTTTTTTAGTATAACCTCAAGCTTCAGATATATACATTTTCCACCAATAAAATATAATGTAGATTTTAATTCCACGCTTTTTCATTCCAAAGGTAGAATTTTAATTAACATTATTTTTCGAAAAAAATTCATGTTTATTAATTACTTTCTACAGCTAAGCAAGTCTATATAATTAAGACAGCATTAAATATTTACTTTAATATGTACTTTCAATATCAAAAATTAAAAAGGTTTTTAAAAATGTAATTTCAAATGTGTTGGAATTCAACACAGATTAAGAAAGAAAGTAATTTCGTTAACTAAAATTAAATAATGCAGCAATTTATTTAAAATTTAAAACTAAGAAAAGAAAATAATAAAAGTATCAATAATTTAAAATACTGTTTTTCAACTTTTAAAATCAATACATATATATAAAAAAATAAGTTGATTTAAGGCAATGATTTTTTTTAAAAAATCATTTGATTTAAATCAACAAACCCTGACAATCACCCTCAAAAATTCAAATCTGTCAAAGAAAATATTAGTTTCAGAAAAGAAATTCTTTTTTAAATTTTATTTCATAACTTAAAATATTATATAGTAGTCATTAATTAGTAAACTTTCAGGTGTTCTCTAAATGTTTAATCCTATGATTTTTAACAGTTGTTTTGATATACAGTTCATTATTAAATTAAAACTGATTTACACTATTAAACATACTTGAAATTTTCATTAATTAAATTTAAATTCATTAGTAAACTTTTAGGTGTGTTCTCAAATTGTTTAATCCTAGTGCAGAGATCATTCTAGACAGGGCAAACAGGGTGAAGCACCCTGCTGCCCTTTTAGTTAAAAGAATCCACCCTGTTGTTGTCCCTGAAGTAAATTAATGCCCTGATGTAATAGACTCCATACCTTTTTTGCCCTTTCTTTATTTTCCCCCCAAACTCTACAATGGATTTCTTAATTTTTTGTTATTTTCAACTCTTTTTATTTAGTTTGTCATTGCTGTCAATACATAGATTTATATGGGAAGGAAAAATAGCCACCACACCTCCTTGTTGCACTTGTTTTTGAAAGTTTGCAGTTACTTCCACTATCATTAATTAAATCATAACTACAGACACTTAAAATACATTTACTATTTTATTAATATATGTATGCATTTTAAATAAATTACTAAGCTAATTAGCTCATTAACTCGATTTATATGTTAATTTATTAATAAAAATTAGCTTTTAGTAAAAAAAAAAATTCTTTCACTAATTTACAATGTTTTTTAATAGAACATGTAAAGCCCATAGAAAGAAATTATTGAGTTTTTAGAATAATAATGCCCCTTTTTAAACTTTTGCACCCTGCCCTTTTTTCTACCTAGAATGAGCTCTGCCTAGTGATTTTTAACAATTGTTTTGAGGTACAGATTATTAAATTAAAATTTATTTGTAACGTTAAATATAGACTTTAAATTTTCCTTAATTTAATTTTTACTTTAAATTATAAATAATTAATTAGTTAACTTTTAGGTGTGTTCTCAAAATGTTTAAATTCCAGTGATTTTTAACAATTGTTTTGACAAACAGTTCATTATTAAATTAAAATTGATTTACACAATGAAACATAACATAATTTAAAATTTTGACTGTTTTATTTCTGAATTTAAGTTTTAAGATTTACTTAAATAAGCAAAAAAAAGCAAATAAAAAAATAATAAACAGATTTATTTTTTTATAATTATACTATAAAAAATCAAGAAATCAGATTTAGGCATTACTTTTATGGGCTGCAACCGACCCGGAGCTCAGCAATTCAAACAAAAATACATTTAATTTCATTAAAATTATAAAAATCAAAACTTCATTCTGGCTTAAAAATTGTAAGACGAGGAACTTAAAATTATACCAACAAATGGTTTGTAAATAGGCTTCTATTGAATCTTATTTTTAAAACTCTTAACAACGTGCCAATGTAAATTAAAAAATACTTTCTAGTTTATTAAAAAAAATTACCTCTTTTAAGATTCTTTTTAAGTAATTTTTCATTCTTTTTAAAAATTCTTAATGGCTTTTTAGTGGTATTTTAAAAATAAAAAAATATTAAGGATTTTTAATTTTTTTTCTTTCAATTATTTCTAACAATATTTATTCTGTTTCTTTTTCATACAAAAAGTTATTAATAAAATTTTTAGAAATACTCTGGGTTTATACACTTCCATAGTGAGATAGCAAAGTTATGAGTTTATTAAAATTTAGAGGTTGAGAAACTTTATTTTAAAGAAAATCCTTGTTTTTGCAAAAAAGAGCTTTAAATTTGAAACTGAGTCAAAAACTTGAAACTATCAATGGGAATTACATGGGAAATGGAAACTTCTTAATCTATACCATTTCTGAAAGTTCAAATGCTCTTTCACAATTTTAAAAAAAAAAAATCTAAAATCTGAGATTCGATAAATATCTTTTACACAATTGAAAAAAAATCTATTTTTTAAATAAAATAAGAAATCATTTACATTCTTTTCTAAAAAAAGTTCTGAGGCTTGAAAAGCTTTTTTAATTAAATAGATTTTTTAATTATTTTAATTAATAAACTTTATACAATAGACAGTCACATAAAAAATGTTGAGTACATACAATCAAATAACGTAAAAATAACAAAACCACGATTAGGAGAATTTCACACAGGTATTACCCATTTAAAAATTCAAATACGTTCCTATTTTACTAGATTTTTAAGCATTAAAAAGATAAATAGAAATTAACGATTTGAATTTTACAATACATTTAATATTCAGAATTTTTACTTGCGCACAGCAAAAAAAATTTTTTTAACACATCATTATCTAAATATCTACTTTATTTCATAACGTTCTATTTTAAGATATATGATTTGATCAATAATCATAAAAATAAATATACTTCACTTTAAGGTTTAAATATTTTATGTTAAACAATATTATAACATTACACAATTATCACCAAATCTTCTACAAATGTCGCCAAAATGATATGCATGGGCGACAAAATTGTCGCTTAGAAATATGTTTAGAAATTACAAAATAATAATGAAAAATACTTTGCTTTTTTTGCATTAAAATCCATGTATTAGAAAATTTTTATTTACTAATTTTATTATATTTGTAGGTTAGGTTTCAGTTTTAAGATATTTCAAATGGAATAACTAAAAGTGTCTGGTTCCAAAGATTTTAGATGTTGAAATTTCAAATTTACATGTTATGCAGTACTTTGCATTCATGTACTGACAGTGTAATTGTTCATCAATAAAACATAATTTTTTGCTTTTTTAGAATTTAGTTTACTTAGAAATTTTAGATAATTTTTAATATAATATTTTGTAAGTTTCTACTTTCACCTATATATTTTTTGGTACCATTTTAATCTGTAAGTTGAATCTATTTACTAATATAATTCAAACTTTTATATACTCAATTTTAATAAATTCTCATTTTAAATCATCATAAACCAAATGAGTTTCAGGGTGTTATAAATGGCATTTAATAATTTTTGATGAGTATTATATGAATATTGCAATTGGGAAGTTCGATACTTTTTTCTCATGTTTTTCTACCATATTAATTTTTTGGACCACTAAATTTCCATAGTTGGTGTGAACACTAAACATTACATTTAATTATTTTATTTTGTACAGAAAAATTTACTCTGGTTTTAGTTAGAAGAATTTTTTGAAACAAATATAAAGTATCATTATTGCTTGTAAAGTAAATACGAATTCCTCATACAGAAATTTATGTCTTGTTAATACAAGTTCAACTTTAGTTGGTCAATAAAGAATTGAACACATGCGAAATAGTTTACATGTTCAAAAGAAATATTTTATGTCTTGTACAAGGCGTAAATATGTACAAAATAGTTTTAATTAAGAGCATGTCATGGAACTACGCAAGATTCAGTTGCCGCTTCACTGCATAGAATGTAAACAAATATTAGGGTAACAAGACATATGATATTGAGTCATTTTACGCATTTGAAACAATTAAAAGCTTTACAATCAAAAATGCAATCAAAGTAATTGTAATTCACTAACTGTAAATAATAAATAAATAAATTACCATTATATTATTATGGTAAACAATATTTAAAGAGTACATTTATCAAAATATACAAATAAGTCATCGCAATAACTTAAAGCACATGTTTAAAAAAATATAAAAGAAATAAATTTGATAAATAACTTACAAGACAAGCTTCGACATGAGTATAGGCACCATTATTTAGCACAGGGATTACACTAAGGAATATCTATATCAATGACTTAACACCACATAATCCAAGAAAACTGAGAATTAACTTCAGCTATCACACGATCACAACTTCGTTAGTAACACAAAGGAGTAGAAACCATTGAAGATTTGAATGCGCACCGTTCAGTTTGTTTGCATAGTCGCAGACTGCTACTGCGCAGGATGGGGCTTTCACCATTGGTTGAAAGTTCAACACAAGGGAAAACTCACTGGTTCGTTCACTTTCTTTTGTTTATAATTACGGGGAAAAATTCATATTCTTGCGTTAGCGAAGGAAAAGTAAAAGAAATAAATTCCTCCTTTCTCCCCTTTTCCAACTCCGAACTTCCGAGAACCTGCAGCTGGGAACTAACTCGTACCAAATTAAGTTATATTTATTTGGTGTGGCTATTATTTTAAACCATAAAAAGATGTAAGCCACACTTGGTCATGAGGACTCGAGTCTTGATTATGATGTGTAACATGAAACCGTAAACAGATTTTTTTTGAAAATATATTTTCATAATGTTAATGTTACTGATATAAATATAATGAATTTTAGTAATTAAAAAAATATATATATTTATGCTTGGTTTTTCAGTTCTTTTGACTTTTTATTCAAATTTAATTAGAATCATTTTAAAATAAAATGAATAATAGAAATATTATTAATCCGTTCATGCTTAAAAGTGAGGCTCTATTTTTTTTAAAAATAAAATAAAAAGGTTGTAACATAATACAAGAAGCACTAATTAGCAAAATTTGCATACATTGTACAAAAAAGAGTTTTATTATTTCTCATTATACCAGAATATAAATATTTGCACCTGAAGTTAAAGCTCGGTGTCTTTACAAAGTTGTAATGGTATTTAATGGAAGGAAATATTCATTAAATTTAAACGATATTACTGATTTAAACATATCTGTATTAACACTTTTAACGTTGTCGAAATATTGAGATCTGGTACCAATTACTAAAACTTAAACAAATAATTTATTGTTATAAAAATTGAAAATTTAAAACATTTATGCATAATTAATATTACAAAAAAAAAACAAATAATAATAAATTATGATAAAATGAAGGATTCAGCAAATATTTAATTTCTTTACGATTTTTACATCATTAAAAATAATGCGAAAAATTGTTTCAATGATCTAAAATAAAATAATATAATATAGTTACATACATTCGAGCTTTGCTACACCGAATTTTTGATGGCATATTAACTTCTTTCTTTATTATTCGAGATGAGAAAAAAAGAACATAAATTTAGAAGCCAATTACTTAAAAAGTACACTAGAAAATTTGTTTTTGCACTTTTATAGTTTAAATATGTTTGAAATAAAGCGAGGAAACTTAAAAACTTTTTTGCCCAATAACTATTCATGCAATACAGTAATAACTAATAATATTCTCAAAAATGAATGCATAAAAATTAATTTCATATTTTAAAAGAAATTGCACGGAAATGTATCAAAAATGAAAATCTATGTTTGTATTTTTAAAAAAAAGCTTATATTTTTATTAGAGTTATGTTTTTTTCAGCAATTTGAACATTCGTTTCTTCATTTCTTCGTTATGGAATTATACAATGTGTTACGCCTCATAAAAAAAAAGAAAAAAAGAACAGTATCTTTTTTATTTATTTATTTTATTGAATTCATTTATTTCATTCACCGACTTATCATAAAATATAATCTATATCTGCTAGTAAGGAAATAATACATACAAGCATATACAATGTTAACTTTTTTTGCTATATGTAGAACTTAATAAGCCAAATTTTCGATTTTTTTTCAGAAAAGAAATTTTAACGTAAATCACCGTAAACTGTAAAACGTTTCCGTGCATTGTTCTGTTATTTAATTGAAATTCATGAGAACATATAAGCCTCTCTAGGGAAAATACAAAAGGGATAATTTGATGCAAAAATATTCCTTTTAAAAAATTAATTTCCCGAAGCTCTTCATAAACGCTAATTTTTTTGTTGACTTAATTTATATTTCAGAAAAGGGTAGGAGAAATTAGAAACTGTCCTGGACTCCATGGTATTTTCAGTTTTCCTTTTTATAATTAAATTTTAAACTTTTCAGTTGCTCTCTTTCTTAAATAATAATATACATTCCCCCGAAATTTAAATTTAATTTTCATTCGCGAGTATAGAGATAAAAGAATCATTAAATTAATTTTAAAAAAAAATTTCATTATGGAGCTTATAAGCAATATTATAAATACATTTAGTAAAATGCTTGGAAAATTTTTATCATTCGTTCAATAAGTTAAAATAAATAAATGTTCAAAAAAATATAAAAATCGGTACTTTTCTAGCTAAATAAAAGGAATGAAATGAATTATTTATTTTAATAATTATGTAACTTCTTTCTTGAAGGAACTCACTGTAAAATAAATAAATATATAAATAAATAATAGAATTATACAGTATTTTTTTACGGCTATATTTGCAGAGAGTCTAAAATTATAAATTTAAAAATAAAATATAAATAAATAAAATATCGAGGTGTAATCAGCTTTTGCAAATCTGAAAAGTTCATTTTTCAAACTTGAGAGGTTGAAAATTTCTTTAAATTTTATCTGATTTGACGAGAAATGTAAGAACATATGTAAGAATCTATGTATATGCGAATTTAAGAATATTACTCATATTAAAGTTGCTTCTTTCATAAAAAGGAAGTTATTGCGTTTACAGTTTTTGATAAATAAAATAATATCCCTATAACTTTAATGCATTTTTGCTAAATATGCATTATTTTATTAAAAATAATTGCTGTATGCAACCGAAACTACATCAATAATACACGCGGTTAAATTTTAAAACGGATAGAAATTAAATAACTTATCATGATTCTAGTCAGATATTTATAAATACATATAATGGGCTTGTAGCAATATAGTCATTCATCATATTTCGACCAAAAAAGATTTTTTTCACATCAAACTGTTTCTCAGTATTATTTTCAGATAGATACTTCGAATTTTTAATTTTTTTTTTGGAATTTCTTCGCCGGATAATGCTTAGTCAGATTTTTCTCATTAGTTACGCTGAAACATCTTAAACAATTTATGACTTACATAAATATCTAGGGGAAAAAAACGCTCTCCGTCAACAAACGTCACCAAATCGCTCATCTGAACCACGTCAACCACTCTTCTGAATAATTTGAGAGTGTGGTTTATCTTTACAGTATCCCACGTTCTTCACATGAAGATTGTCCCAAAATCCACTCAATATTTGAATTTTGAGCTATTTGTGCTAATTATTTGAAAGTGCGGCTTATCATCACATTTCTCCACTCTCTTCATAAAAATATCGTCATAAAGTTCACGCAAACATTTGAATTTTGAGCCATTTGTGCTATTAAATGTTGTCTGCTAAAAGCAAAAGAAAGAAATAATAATAACAATAAAAAAGATGGAGTGGCAGGTGATAAGTTCAGAATTATTATAAATAAAGCGCTGCATGAATGAACGTTTTCGTGCTATGTTGTGTTATTTCCCGATCGTTTTATTTAACATTTTACGGATCAGTATTGGCAGCCCAGATCATGATATCCCGCCCAGATCTTACGTTTTTTTTTGTTTTTGTTTTTTTATTCTCCTGTCTTTAGGTCTAAGGCAGTGTTCCTTAACCTTTTTGATATAATGGACCCCTTTTAAAAATTTTTAAGAAGTCACGGACCACCCCCCTGTGAAAAAAATAATTGCAAAAAACGTCAATTATTCGAAAACATTTAATTTTATTATTTTAATAGTATACAAAATTTTTAAAATTAAAATTTTTAATGTGAAGGTTGCTGCTGCTTTTCCTTACTTAACAAATTGAATTGGGGGATGGTTTTCAACAAAGCAAACGGGCATATCATGTTCAACATTCAATCGATTTCGATGTTATGTTTTTATTGTCACAATTGTGGAAAATCCCGNCTTTTAACATGATTGATTCGATTATATCGCGATGCAAAACTGACGATATATCACGATATATAATTTCTAATATCGCCCAGTCCTACTCCTGTCTTTAGGTCTAAGGTGTAAGCCAACAAGCCCAAAATCACTCACGATTTGAAGGATGAAAATAATGAAATATCAACAACATTCAGTCACATTTATGCAAAACAGATGCTGATAAATTTAATTAATAAGTGCATATGTCTGCATATTTCTCCCATAACTTCTCCATGCATAATCTTATATTGTGCATTTTAAGAATGATAAAAATGATAAAATTTAATTGATAAACGTGTTTTTTTTAATCAAAATTACATCTAGCTTGAATTTTAGAACCCATATAATTTAAAAAAATAAATAAATAAAGACAATAAAAGTAGTGGTTCATCTTAAATGTATTTCAAATATTCACTTTCAGTTTCTTAAATAAAGGTTTCACGACAAATTCATCCATTATTCAAAAGAATTAGGTAAAAGTTTGAAAGAAATGTGTCACACTAAATGCAAAAGGTTCACCACTACTGATTTAAAACTATGATTAAAAAATAATGAACTGTATATATTGATTTAAAAAAATGAGTTCATTACCTTATCTCCTCGACACAATTAAATTAAGGAGACGTATTGAGAATTTGAGTAGGAAGTTCACCCACGTCTTATAGCATAATTTGATTTCATTAACCAGACATCTATGTTTCATTTCAGGTCCTCGGGTCCTCGACCTCCTAGCTGCAAAAAAATAAAAGAAAGTTATTAAATAAAATTTTTATGCTTTGATTATATTTACAGCGTTGACTTTTGGACATGTTAGAAATTTTGAATCGTATTAAACCATAATATCGTTTTAGTATAATGCAATCTTAATATGGTGCTAAATTGAACCGTGTAATCCTGCTAGTTGAACCCCATAATCGTATTGAACCATATAATCATAATAGCATCGTAAAATTTATTATTCCAAGCTATAGTTCAATGTAGGTTAAGGTAGAGAATAATTGACATCGTTTAAATTGTGGATATGAATACATAAATTTGATCTAAATTAAAGGAAAGGATACAAAAAGGGAAATAGGGCAAAATGTAAAACGTTTCTTAAATTTGAGGGTTAAACTAATTTTTTTAAAACTAATTATGCTAATTTTTTGGTTAAACTAATTTATTTTTATTTCATAATAACGTCAA